ATTATTTTTTTATTACCAGTGATCTGTTCTCCTCATTTGGAATAATTTTAGAAGGAACTAAACGCACATGTGCAATAAGAGACTTTCTAAATGTCTAAATTTTAGAAACACCTCGTAGGATATTATTTAGTTGGACAGTGTGGCTAATAAAAGAGTCTATAATAGTAAATATAGTGAGTCGACGGTAGTAGAGACGAGGTTTCAGAGGGGACGCAATCTCTCTGGTTGCAGGTTGTTCTTGCAGTCGCCGGCCAATCCGGATTTACTGTACGTGATATTTTTCTGTCACACCCAGCTCACGGTCACGCTGCTGCTGTGCCTCATATTCGGCAGCAAGGTAAGAAACTCTCCCCGCGGCGGCGGGCGTCGACGGGGTCTCCCGTATTTTCATCGCGTTCATGCGGTAACGGGGGCGCGTGACAAATGGCACCGGCCGGATCGCGAATTCTAAAGCCCCACGGGGGCCAGGCGCCGCGGCGGGGCCATTGAAATTTATTTATCTCACGGCGCGCATATTGATCACTCGAAAAGCAACGGCTGGCGCTCGCGGAACTTGCAAAATAGTTGTGCGCCCGAACAACACCGGCCCGGCGCGCCACGGTGTAATTTATTTCCGCCCCCGCCGTGACCGCGGATGAAAAATTGCGCCCCTCCGCCGTCGCCGCCACCTCCTCCCCCCTGCACTCTCGTTTCGCGCATTAAAATTGAAAATTACCGGAAGCTGAAATTTGAATATTAAACAGTTCATTTAACGTCGGCGCCAAGAAAAAACTACCGCCGGATACCCGGCAATTCCAGGTTACCGCGGTAATAAAATTTTTAATTGCCGCGATATTTTAAGTTAACGACTCTTACGTGTAATTCTGTTTTGCCATATTTTAATCTGCTCGCGAGGCTAATGAGCGGCGTGGGTGGCGTACGCCGGATACGTACTCGCGACCTCGCGGCTCGAAGAGCACGGAAAACCGGCTGGCCACAATTATTACCCGCATCGTTCGCTGATCTAATATTTCTCACCGGCATTAATTCGATCGACGAACTTGTCACGTGGATGTAGATTATGCAATAACGAACGAGCGGTCGAGGGAAATTCGATATTCATACCGTTTAGCGGAAGTCTCGTCTGAAGTGCATAGCCGGCATGATCGATACCACTCCATTCGGTTACCGAACAATGAAACAGCTTTTTATCCATTTCCACTCGTGCAAGACTAACTCTCCGCATTTCCTTTCAAATCCACTTCGTAAACTGAATCTTTAACATCATCAGATATCTATTAAGGACGTATTGGCTGTATAGTCAATTCTAAAAGTTTATGTACCTTAGAAAAACGCATTTCCTATAATTAAAAATAGTGCATT